GATAACTTTGCAACTAATTTTATGTTTCATAATTCCTGTTCTCCAATATTGTTTGCAAAAGTCAATGGCAATTAAGTAACCTTATACCATTCAGTCAAAACTAAAAGAACTTTGGACATTTGATTCTATCTGTTAACAACTCTATTAAACAAAATAGCCAAAGCTCCAACTACATTTCCGTAACAAAATTTCTTGAGGACAGTTTCTGTCCCCAGCTCCTTACTAAATGAGAATGGGTTAGAAGAAGCCAGATTTCTCCTGAGGGACAAAGGAGGTCACCTCTGTCACATGAGACCGCTCCAGGATAGTGTGATAAGATGCTGGTCATGTCTACTGGCCTTCACCCAGCCACGACCTCTCCAGAGGTGAACAATGATCTCCCAGCCTCTGCTGCAGAAAAATAATTCCCAGTGGGCCATTATACTCTGTGCACTGAGGTGCAAAACCAAAAAGATCCATTAAAAAAAATCTGAAGTCAAAGAGAAGAGGAGAAATAAGATGTCATGGCCAGGAAAAGGATATGAAGGATATGGCAACTAAAATTGTCACTTAGGGGACTTTGAAATAGCAAATTAAAATACTTCTGGAACACATGCAGGCAAATTAATACCAGCTAACAATAAAATTTGCAACATCTGAGCAATAATTCCAACAGTCAAGATCTGGAAACCATCTGACCTCGTACTTACCTTTGCCTGCTAAAGCACCTGATGGACAATTAGAGATAGAGATAGATAGAGATATATCTGTCTGGGGGGGTTCATGGCTCTGCTGCTGGGCTGCAGAACTCCATAGCCACCTCACACCCTTCGCATTCACAGGGCTGGAGCTGCAGCCTCACCAGGAGCACCTGAAGATGAGGATGCAGAGATCCCCTGCCCACCCAGTCAGAAATTGCCCCTCACACACACGAAAATCCCAGTACTGGGAGTACTGGGGACCATGTAGCAGGCAATAAGCCTAGTAATAGATGCATGCAGGAAAACAACTTTAAAAAGCACTGTAGGATTGAAAGTCTTCCCTGACAAAATGCAGGATGTCAGCCTTAGTTGCTTAGCATTACAACAGAAATGTGCCTATAAATATGTCATATTTTTGTAGCACTCAGAAACCTCGGGAGCATTAGAAAGTCCTCAGGACACTTTCCCTAAAATGCAACCTACAAAAATGTTCTCATTTTCTTTAACACACTGGAGAAAAAGATAAAAGCTCTGTTGGTACTCAGGCATCACACATAGGCTAAGGGGAACATATGGGCAACATGGTATTACAGCATTTATGGGCATTTTTCCCAGCAACATTGACCAGTACGGAACATAGGACGCTGACCTAGGTGTGGGCCTGGGATTATCCTGGAAGGCAGCTCCTACATCCACAAAACAGTGACAACCACCCATTACTGAGAATCTCTCACGGACATCTGTTAATTATTTTATGACACACGAAGCCAAGAGAGAACAAATACCAGGGAAAGTGCTTCCCTGGTGGCAGTTTATGGCCCCACCCTGCAGGCAGGGACAATGACATTGTGCTGATAACAACCAGAACCTCCAGGTAATGAATCTTCAGGACTGCCATGAGTGAAATAGTACATCCTCCCCAGTTTCCAAGGGTGGTGGAATTTGGGGTGTCCTTTCTTGGTGCTCCTTTCTGCCCAAGAGGAAAACACCACCTCCTTTCAGTGCGGGCTTGGCACCTCAGTCATGCCCATGTCATGTTCCCATAGTCACTCAGGCAGGGCTGGAGGTGCTGCTGCTGCACAGGGGGTCAGATCAGCTCATGGGTCTGACCAGGCATTAACCTCGGCCCACTCATTTGATGTATCAGGTCTCAGTGTGTTCTCAGCCTGCACAAATGTACCCCTCAGTGGCACCCTAGTGCAGCTACTGACACCCACAGAGGCGAGTGCCAGGTGGAAAGGGCAGACCCAGCCGTCCCCTGCACTCTAAACTCAGCTTAAGCACGTCAAGGTAGATTTGTGAAGATGGTTATTGGAGAAGATGGTTATACTGCCACTTGGCATGTCTCAGTAGCATTCTCTACATTGATCTGAGCAACCAGTTGCATATGACGTCATTGCTTCTGTGATGAAAACTTAACATTTTATGAATTTGAAACAAAAGTACTAAATCACTAAGAACAAGCACCACACAAGTGCACTTGGCTGAAAGTTAGGTGCACTGGCTGCCAGTGAATTTTAGTTTGTGTCTGTGTACGCATATTTATTATGCCTTTGTTTATAAAGTATGCAAGGATATCTGGAGGCAATATTTTAAGCAGAGGGCACAAGGCACATTCAAAAGTCAGACTTGAAAATAGGATTTAATTGTATTTTTTAACTTATTTGATTATGTCATCATCAAAAAAATCAAGGTTGGGATTGTTTCAATTAACTGACCTAAACCTTTTCTCCTGTGTGTATTTTAAGGACATATTAAGGAACAACTATCATTAGTCAAAGTTTTGGCAATATATATGATATAATTATTAATTGAGTCAAAATACAGATTAAATAACATTGATTAAGACATCTTTTCCAAGCCTTGTTTTCTCTCACCCCTGAAATAAGTATAAACACATAGCTGTCTGTCTCATCTCTGGAGGGAGATTTACTTAATATTTCTCATGTGATTTTACCTTTTGGAAAATGTCTATTTATATTATGATTTTTCACCTGATTATTCCATATTATTTCAGAGTTATCATACCCTGCCTGGATGCATGTTTGGTAGTCTCCCATTTCAAGGGTATACAAATGATTAAAAGTTTATTTCCACAAAGTATGTGGAGTGGTTTTCTCTGCTAAATACCAAAACAATATTCAATTGGGAGAATTGAGCTTGTGAAAGAGATGTTAAGGCAATGTCAAAGATCTTTCAGGAAGACGGAACTTCTATGCAATAACAACATGGTTGGATTAACTTTACAACAAAAGGAAATTAGACTGGATTTCTACAGAGTCAGTTTTGTTATTCTAGCTAACAATATGATTAACATTGAATGAATAGTAAAGGCCTCATTCATGCTTCACTTAGCCCAAATTAATGTGACTGATTACCCAGCCTCTCTGTACTGGCAGAAATTCCCGTGTCTCCAAGGCTCATTTATCCAGAAAGTCTCACTTCTAAGGGAGTTGACCGCAGGTAGAAATAAAAACAATAGCTGAAGCCTTTGAAACTTTTGCACTTCATTGCCTTTTCCTCTGGACAACCAGCTCCACCTTCATGTGGATGTTAAAGTCTACAGCCCCAAAGACCCAGCTGGGCTCCCTTGTAGACATGCAGTTTGACAGTACTGGTCCTTTCTCAAGGATGTTCATTTTTTTCTTAAATTACTCCCATGCTCCACATTACCAATGCTCCCATGTTCCACACTGCCAACCAGACCATCCTAGACAGAGGCTGCTTGCCCTTGTTGAGGACCATCTCTGACTCCTCAAGGTGCCATGAATTAAAGCTGCTGCTGAATAACCCCTTTCTCCCAAGCACCTGAGGAACCTGAGAAGATCTTATGGGCTGTGAAAATGACAATATGCACATCAAGTGCTGTTTGTGTTCACAGTGAAAAAACAAGTCAGCACAGACCGACATCAATGTCAGCATGAAGGCTGCAGAAAAAAACCTAAGCTGTAGATTTATCCTTAGAGGCAGGAAACCAGGCAGGAGCAGTTAACTCCCATCCGTCCTGCTGCCACTGCCCCATCGCATCAGTAATACTGGAGCAATCCACTGCCTAAGCGTAATCAACATGAAGAGCCTTGACTTTGTCTTCTCCTCATCCTCACCTAAGAACAGCACAGATGAAAACTGGAGGCAGTGAAAACAGGACACCTGCATAAGCAGGCAATATTCTCTTCACAGGCTCACATACTCCCTACATTATCCCTCAAAATGCCTTCCACATTCCCCCAGAGGAGCCTGACTTTCACAAATGCACAGAAGGCACCGGCAAGACTGAGTGCCTTTTGTGGTTTCAAGACCTGCTGGTGCTTGAATCCAACACCCACCCTCCACAAAAAAGTCTTCAGCTGGATTTCCAGAGCTGGACTGAATGGAGAACTGAATCCTGGCTTTATCCTTGTGCATTCGTGGCTGACTCGAAGGGAATGCCACTAGGGATGTAATGGCATTGCCTGGGTTCTCACTGGGGTATTGGCACTGACCAGTGGGGATTTTACTGGCTACTCTTCAACTTCTGTCTCTTTAGTCGCCAGGAAAAAGACCATACTCTCTTAAATGGCACTAATTCTCCTGCTGAACAGAGTGCAAGGCAGTGCAGTGCTGCACTAGGGGCAGAGCCTGGAGTGCAACCTGGAGAACACAAAATGGGAGCAAAACCATGGAGTCAAACCAGCTGCAGCTTACTTGGCTTCTGCTACTGGCAAGGTACTGGGAGGGCAGCAGCTGGAGATGGCACCTGGCAGCCAGAGGAAGATAGGGAAATGTAGGAAGAGGAGGACTGAAGAATGCTCTGATGGTCTGTTGGTGAGAGAGGAGGAAGGCAGGTTGCTCAGAGTGAAAATCCAGAGGAAACTCTGATACACCTAGGGGCGTCACATTATGTTGTCACAATACTTCCATTTTTAATGGCACTGAAAGTTGAATGCCCTACAAGGTAAGGAAGCTTATCCAAGCTAGACAATAGGGTATGGATCCTACCACTGGTGAAGTGGAGGCAGCAACTCCTTTTTCAGTGCATTTGCCCAACAAGAGTGCATGAAGGAAACTAATTCTGGTACTAGTCATTCAGTAAATCACTCTGAATGCAATTCTTAACACTATAAGCCAGGTAAATCTTAACTGCTGTGTTACTTCAGATAGACGAAATCCAAACCCAATCTCATACCAAGGCTTGACATTAAACCATTTACTGCTGACTGTGAAACACACACACATCTTGAAGTCTTTTGATCTTTTAGAATGGGTGACAAAAACTTCTCTTTGCAACATGCTCCATACTGAAATGATCTGGCTGTGGTGCCATGACTCTAAACACTGGCATGTGCTGCAGACAATTTGACTCACAGAAAAAAAAGCTTTACTCCTTTACACTGATCACTGGTTTGAGCAGTGGAAACCACCATTTTGGTCCATTTTCACAAACTCACGTGAGAAGAACAGGAAGAATTACTGAATATCTTCTCTAAATCACATGCAGTTGTCACTACTGGTAGCTCCTGCATGACAGTGTCTGTGTCTTCTGGAGGTCTTTCTGGCATCTGCAATGCACATGTCACTGGCAACCAGAACCAAACCAAATTCGAGTTCTCTAAGACAAACAAGAGAAGAATGGGAAAGTATCCCAATCTTCTTCCTGGGAAAACTCGACAGAGGCTTACTTTTTATCACCATCATGGAGACTATGTCTGTGAAAGTAAGCAAAACAAAAAAAGGAAAAGGTTTATCCAAGAATATGCATGCAATTTTCACAGCAGAGTAAGTCCTTGAGCCATGCAAAAGACAAAGCTGTGATAAAGCTAGGTGATATAACCCAATTTTTCAGCTCTACATGCTCTAAATATTTCACATCTAGCAACATTTATGCATACTCCCAAAAGTAAAATGAGCATTATGATACATATACATGTCTGTTTGACTCTTGCCTGGGAAAAAAAAATATTTGTACATTAAATTGGAAAGCCCCATACTCCAGAATATGGTTCCAGAATGAAAACAATTAAAAGAAAACTGCACTCCAATAGACTATTGTCAAAGTTTGTCCTTAGCTGAAAGCAAATCCATGTTTAATTTTAAAGATTTGTCATTAGGACATCTATATGTAGTAGTCTGAGCAACAGACAGGAAAGGTGATCAGATTTTGTTACTTTTTCTGGTGTTGCTTTTTTCATAGTAGTTAATCCATCTACACACTTAACTCTTTGTACAAAAGGTTTTATAGAACTTACTGACTTCATGCTCTTGAAGATTATCATGACAGAGCCAATAACACAGAGCACTGTTTTGATGATGGCAGTGATGTTGAAAATCAGTAAGATAACCATTTCCCTTCCTGAAAGAACACACAGCTTTTATGAGCATTTCTAGAAACAAAATAATAACAGTAACATGGCATTTGAGAAGAATGCAGAATTCTTTCAGAATAACACTAAAGGACACTTAAAGCATGTTGAGATGCTGGAGCATGTCCAGAGAAGGACAAGGCTAGTGAAACAAGCCTTGAGGCTCCAAGGATGGAGCACATGTCCTATGAGGAGCCTCTGAGGGAGCTGGGGTTGTTTAGCCTGAAGAAGAGGAGGGTCAGGGGAGATCTTACCACTCTCTACACCCACCTGACAGGAGGTTGTATCCAGGTGGGAGCTGGTCTCTTCTCCCAGGCAACTGGCAAGACAACAGGACGAGAGGACACAGTCTTAAGCCGCACCACAGGAGGTTTAGGTTGAAGATCAGGAAGAAATTCTTCACAGAAAGGGTGACTGGGCATTGGAATGTGTTGTGCAGGGAGGTGGTGGAGTCATCATCCCTGGGGTGTTTAAGGAAAGACTGGATATGGCACTCAGTGCCATGGTCTTGTTGACAAGGTCATGTGATGTCATATGTTGGACTTGATGATCTCAAAGGTCTTTTCTAACCTCATTGATTCTGTGATTCTGTGGGTTTGGGGAGAACAAAGAAAGGACTCAAGTCCTGGAAAGACAAATATGATACCAGAATCCAGATAAGGATCCATATGGGATTAATTACACAACAGGACAATATACCAAATACATCTGCACACTGCATTACATACTATCTTTTTCTAAATCTAGCAAGTTTTCCTGCTCTCTCATACACATACAATTTTCCAGACTGGTTATTACAAGGACAGAAGACATTTAGGTAACTGTGCCAGGAAATCCCTCAGGAAGGACGAAAAGCAGGAGCTCTCTCTGCAGGGCCCCCTGCCTGGAGCCCTTTGATGTCAGCCACACGTCCCTGCTGGGCAGCAGGCAGGTACTGCACACGATGGCCCTGTGCCAGTCCCACTGTGCATCTGTGGCTCCTGGCAGGGAAAGCTGTCATTCCCGGGCAGGAAAACCTCCTCTGCATGCCAGGGGAGCAAAAGATAATCACTCCTGGCAGGATGTGGCACAGGGATTGTTCAAGCACAGCGGATCCAGGTATCAGTTTGCAGAGTCAGAGATTGAAAAACTGAGAAGGCAAACATGACTGGGAGGAGGAAGGGGGACAGACAGATACAGAGGGATCTCCCCACTTGCAAGACAAATATGCTGCTTTTGGCAAAAACATAATTAAGATTTAATTAATTACTAGGTAAGAACAATCTTAGAATCCCTAAAGGAAAACCCTGAGTTGTTCAGCAGGAATAAACGACCAAATTAATTTTTGTCAGCACTTGCATAATCCAGGCTAAGGCAGAACTAACATTAGACTTCAAATTCCCTGTAGAGCAAATCTTTGCCTTATCCTGGACAGGATTAAATAACCATGAACATGCTCAGTTGTGATATCACAAACAAATAGGTTTTCTGGTAAAATAAACATGGAATAGGTTTTATTGAACTTATTTCATAAACCAGAACAGGCAACAAACTCAGAAGGGCTGCCACTGAACACAACCTTGCAGCTTCACTCTGAGATGGACAGGGAGACACATTGAATGACAAGTGAGAACATCTGGCTTTCATGATCAGCAAACTCTTTTCCCCACAGCCTCAATTTCTCCTCCAGAAAGATGCAAGATACTGTGTTTTCCATGTTTTTGCCAAGGACACAACAACAGAGTAAGGCAAGTTTGTCTGCTTGGGTGATGTCACATAATATTCAAACCAAAATCTTTCAACAGTCTTAAGAGACAGAGGGACTCCCTATCGAGCTGCATGTGCCTTCCAAACTTGGGCAACAGGGGCTCTGTTCTAGTGTTTCACCACCTCTTCATAAAGACTCTCTTCCTCCACACTTTAGTTTAAAAACATTACACCTTGTCCTATCACTACAGGTCCTACCAAACAGTTTGACCCCATCTTCTTTATAAGCTCTCTATTGGTATTGCAGAGCTGCAATTAGGTCTCCCTGGACTTTGGAGGCTTCTTTTGTCCCAGATGAACAACTCCAGCTCTCTCAGCTGTTCCTCATAGCAGAGCTGCTCCAGCCCTCTGATCATTTTCATGGCTGTAGCCTCAACTTCCTCTAACAGGACCCCAGTGTTCCAGGTGGGGTGTCACCATACAGAGCAGAACAGAGGGGCAGAATGCCTTCCCTGGCCCTGCTGGCTATGCTTCTTTGGATTCAGTCCAGGATAGATTTGGCTTTTGGGGCTTTGGGCACACATTGTTGGCCCATATCCCACCTCTCATCCACCAGCCCCCCACAAGCCCTTCTCCACAGGGCTACTCTCAATCCCTTCATCCATCAGCTTCTATTGGTACCAGGGTAATCATGGCAGTCAAATAAACACAAGCAGCAAAGAGTAAAGAAGTTTTACTCTTTACTCTTAAAGAAGCTGCACACAAATGTAAGCAGGAAAGGACCATGAAACTTGGGACACCTCATAGTACAAACTTGGGACACCTCATAGTACAAACTTGTAAATACTTCACCAGCTGATGCAAGTGAAGGTGTTTTGGCTTGCATAAGAGCAAAATTGGCTGCCACTGCTTCAGGCATGAAATAGTGTTTGTGGATCCAAGCCCATGTCTGCCAGATCCATTGATACAGCTGGAAAACACAAACACAATAGCTGCTCTGACCCCCAAGCCTCACCCTGCTCACATTCACTGTGGCGAAGCTCAGTGAGGTTCCAAGAACCAGGCACATGGGCCTGCCAGGACTTGCAGGGCAGCCATGGGACCTGGGCAATTCTAATGCCCCACAGTCCCGTGTCACAGATGACACTTCACTCCAGAGACAAAATAGTCCTGCCAGCCTGAGGGCTGCTCTGGACCAAAGCACCGTAGCTATTTGTGAGGGCCAGGCTTGGACAGGGAGTGTTGACATTCCCTCCCCAGGGACACACCAGGCTGCTCAGCAGCAGCTTGTCTAGCTCAAGCCTGCCATCTGCACCCTGCGTGTGTAAATATGCCCTTTGCAGCTGTGCAGCCCCTCTGGATGTTTCACTGACCTATATTCCCACATGTACTCCTCACAGAGCAGCACCAGTGCTCTGCAAGCACCATTTCTTCCCCACATCACAGCAGCTTCCCACTGTGCCCACCCATCACCTTGAACACTGCAAAAAGGACCACTTCCTGCACGACCTCAGGCCTCAGACAAAAGCACAGCTCTTTGGATGAGAATTTAGGCATCACCTCAGTTCTGACATGCTCCCAAAAGCGGTTGGAGAGATGAAGCAGCACAGCACAGTTCACCAGATGTACAGCTGTGTCTGAAGAGCAGCGGGCCAGTATGTCAGGCACTGCAGGAGCTCACTGAACAGGCCCATTAGCCAGAAAAATAGGGCACTCTGCCAATTAAATTATTAACCTCCGGGCGTATTTGCATGCATCGAACATACTCAGCTTTTCCAGCTTTACTCCTTTTGCTACACTCAGTGACCCATACATGTCACAGCACTCTATGTGGCTAGGAAAACATTTTTATAACGTTTTGTAAGTGAAGAATAGCAGACACTAACTCCTGCAGAATATCTTATGGCAAGTCAAGGGAAGAGCCTGGAGAAACATCTCCTGACTCACCATACAGTGCTCTGTCCATCACATCACATTACAGTGTAGGGACATTGCTGGGTCTCACACACAGCTACAAACAAAGGTAGTAAGTATGAAATCTTAAATCATGTGGGATTTTTACCTAAGTAAATCATCTCAGTTTTCTCTCCAGCTTCTTACATGGATGAAGTAGAAGTATGCACCTTAAACGCTTCATCAGTCTCACTTTAAAAAGTGCAAAGATCTTGCATTTCAAAATCTGTAAAAAAAAAAAAAATTAAAAATAGATAAAATAGATTAAAAAATAAAAAAAATTTAAAAATAAAAAACTAAAAGAAAAATTAAAATAAAAATAAAATAAAAATAATTTTAAAAATAACATTTAAAAAATTTAAAAAGAATAGAAACATTTTTAAATTTAAAATAAATTGTTTAAATTAATAGAATAAATATCAATAAATATAAATAAATAAAAATAAATAAATTTTAAAAACAGAAATTATTAAATTAAAATTTAAATTAATTAAAAAATTAAAAATAAAAAATTAAAATTAAAATTAGAAAAAATAAAGATAAATAAATTATAATAAATTATTTAAAAATAAATTAAAAAGTAAAAAAAATTAAAAATCAAAATAAAAATTATAAAAAGTAAAAAATAAATTTGAAAAGTAAAAACAAAAAATAAAAAATAAAAGTAAAACTTTTAGAAATAGAAAACCCCTAAATAAATAAATGAAACAAATTTAAAACCATTTTTTAAAAATTTAAAATTAAAATAAATAAAAAAAATAAATGAAAAATAAAAAATAAATTTAAGAATTTTTAAATTTTTTTAAAAAATTATAAATTAAAAAATATTTTTAAAAATGTAATTGTTCAACTTGCGTGGTACTTTTTCCCTTTCCTTTCTGCTCTGCGGCAAATGCATGCTTTCAATCAATGGCACTCTGGGCTCTGTTGCATGGGGTAAATCACCCTGAATTGCTATCAAAATGCACAGCAGCAACACAGGCTCCAGGGGCATGATTAGATCCTCTGACTACATTTATGGTCACAAATTTTTGACTATAGTTACAGCTGAAATAGTGACATTCTTTCATTCCTCAGGTCAAACTAATTCATATTTTAAGCATATCAAAACTTCTAAAATCATGTAATCATTTAAATCACAGCCATGGGCATTTTTTCCCCGAAGTTTGCATAGGGGATGTACAGACATAAGCATGCTGGGGAAAGCTCTGCAGCAAGGAAACTCCTAAGTACAGCTCCCACTGGTTTTCAATGGGAATTATGCCCTTCAGTCCCACAAATGCTTTTGAACACTTACTCCACAATGCCCATCCTTCTTTGCAAGCTCCATGCCGAGCAGCACTGCCCTTTGGCAGAATGTCTGACTGCCCTCCTGATGTAATGCAAATAGAGAAGTGAAAGAGAGAGACAAAACCAACCTTACTTCAAATCACAGAGCAGGGTTGTCCGTATTAATCAGTTCAAAATAAGAATATCAAAGAGCGTTTTCTGTAAGTTGATATATTTGACAGGGCATTTTGAGAGGCTCAGGGATGCAGAAACAACTTTTATATAGTCAGGACAAAAGCAGCAGACAAAACCAGGTGTTAAAAAGCCTCTAACACTGCAGAGGCTCCCTTAGTGAAGTCTGTTTTGATTATCATATTTTAAATTCACACAGCTGTTAGGTGAAGAGCATCTTAGCCATATGCTCTAGCACCATCTAGCTTGTGCCTAAGGTACTTTCTCCTCAAGTAGGGAAATGGTAAATTTGTCATAAATGTGTCATTTCCTTTAAGTATGACTATCTGTGCTTCGGGTATTTTAGTTATTTTGACATTATAATCCAAATGAAAGCAAAGGTAATGAGTACAAAGCAGCCTCATACATTAAAGAGGCCCCTTCATGGATAAATTCCTTCAGATGCATCTCTTTCCATCTGTCAGTTTATCTGTTCCCTCTTTTCTGGGCTTCAGTCCTGCCAAAAATACATGTGTGTTAGATATTTCTAAAGTTTACACTTCAAATTTTGTTTGCCCAAACAAGGTTCCTTCGAGGAACTCATTAAGAAAAGCAACAAAGAATGGGTCAAAATAACACAACACCAATTCTTATCAACAAAGGAAAAAGCACCAACAACATTGAAAACAGAGAAGAGTTGCTGTTCCTCACAGGCAAGGCTGAGGGTCGGTATTGGGAATGGCTTTTCTCATGGAGGATTGAGGTGGCTCCCAGGGGCTCTTGTGCCCCACAGAAGTCACCTTGATGCACTCTCTGGCTCAGAGCTCAGACTTCAGGCAATGCAAGCAAGAAGAAAAACTCCAATGAGCCACTTAACGGTGTGGGAACTGATGTTTAGCTTGGAAAATGATACGTGGTTGCATTCAATACTCGGGCTGACATAAGCTGTCCTGCCCAGATTCCCAAAAGTGAAACTCATACTTACAGAAACTGTGATAAGGACCACCATTAACCTGCAGTGGATGTCAGAAGACCTCTCCTAAGGAGTCAAGAGGGCTGTTCTTTCCCTAATCCTTGATAGAAATGTTAGGAGAGTTTTTACAATTTCTCAGGGCTCACTAGTTACACTGCTCATCAGCAATATTTGTAGAGACCTTGCTAAAATTTTGGAGGGGGCTTCTAGCCGGCATGTCCACTTCTCCCTGGAAAGCACCAGGGAGCTGAACACTCACTCTTATGGCACAGGTTTACACTGCAGCAGAGTTTAACAGAGGATGAGGCTTGCAGACAGCTGTGTGCAGTGCCACTGGGGGAGGTCACATTGAACTGGTGCTCATGTTATCTCCCTGCTGAACGAGAGCAGACAGAACCTAATGCACTGTGTCTGCCATGGCAGCCCCGGGGAGCAGTCTCAGCTTCTCCACTGCAAAGGACTTTGGCAAAAAGCAGCTGGGGCAGGCATTGATTTTGGTATTGTTTCCATTTCTGCTGAGCCAAAGCTTCAGGGAGGAACTCAGCTGGTTAGTTTTCCTGTCAGCAGCTTCATGACTAAATTAGCCAGTGAGTTACAAAGTGGTGATGCCAAAAGTGCAGCAATGCAGGCAGCCTGGTCACGAGCAGGTGTATCTGGAGACCAAGCAAAACCCTATTCTTCTGCCAAAGCTGCACGTAGCTTTATGCGTTTATGTGAAAATCCCTTAAGGCTGTCACTCAGCTTTCAACTTAATTTTGCAAGCATGATAAGTCTCCGAGACCTGAGCCTTTCTAATACAAGGTCATGAAAAATGCAGTGACCAGGCTCAGCAGGGACATTGCCCTTCAGAGGGATTTAGAGATCCCCAGCTCAGCACTACGCCAGGGCAAACCACTTCCAAGCACCGCATTTTCCTGCCTGCAGGTTACAATATGCTCACAGAGGCAGAAAGCTCATTACCGGCCCCAATCTAGAGGCCATCCTGCCTGGCTCGGTGTCGGCACGACCCGCCCGTGCCGCCGTGTCCGTGCACAAGGGCCCTGGGAGCGCCTCCAGCCCCGGGAGCTGCCGGGGAGCGCGGGCACGGGGATGGAGGGCGCGGCTCTGCGCCGCGTTTGGCAGCACGCAGGGATTTCACAGAGGATGCTCCATCTGTCACCGCGCTCTGCTGCAGAGCTTGACCTCGCTAGCACTAAGGAAGCCCCAGCAGATTAACATTTAATGATGCTTTCAGTATCAGCCCTTGTAGTTTTTCATCTCTCAGAGGGCAGACACGGAAGAGAAAGAAAATCGTATGCTGTGTACAGCATATGGGTCTTCTTTCAGCCATCTGCTTTAGAATGCTTGACTTTGACAGATTCAAATTTTTTAAATTACTTCTACTTCGAAAAAAAAATTCTACATATATCTTATTCCAGAAACAGAGCATTGTTGCTTCTTGTATACCTAGACCATTTTTATTTAGATTTGTATAACCATCATACCTAATTCAGTTTAAATAAGTAAACACAGGGGATATGGTTCTTGGTAGCTGTCTGAACAGAAGCGAGGAAACTAAACCTTGCTAAGACAGATGGATTAAATGAGATCCCCCATGTCACTCTTTGTTGTCTTGAAAAACACATATAACCACACGATTTAATGCAAAAATAAATCCATAAGGGACAGTAAAGTGAATCAGAAACACAGGTTCCATTCTTTTTGTTAAGCACTTCTATTCTTTTTTTTTTTTTTTTTTTTTTTTCTGAGCACTTCTATTCTTTTTTTTTATTTTTTTGTATTTTCTGCTTGTGAAGTTTCCAGCTTGTGCCCTGTGCCCAGGAGCAGGTGCAGACAAAGCACCTGGAGTTCTGCTATATGTTCCCAGAGGTCCATCAGTGCTGCCTGGAGCACAGGCTGAAGTCAATAAGATCATCACAACCACAGAGAAAATGTCGGAAAAACAAAACTGTGGTATGAAAGTTCACAAAGTACATATTTGGTAGCATGGCTGGTATAGTATTATAGTATAGTACAGGTTAGTATTTGTAGGAAATAGTAACCTGAAAGAGGGATTTACGTGAGAAAGTGTAGGGGCAAACAAAACAAACAAACAAACACAATTGTAGGGATGGAGAAACACAAAAGCCAGCAGAGAGATCCCAAGCCCATTGAACATTTCTGGAAGATAAAGGTAAGAATTTTAATTTTGGGATTATAGTTACCAAGAGACAAATCAATAGTCAGATCCTTAAAGGAAGTAGATCACCCAAAACACAACTGGCAAGAGGATAATTGGTACTGTTTCAGCCATGGTACTGTAGGGGAGAGCTAGATGGGAACACAGGAGGCTACAGGGGGAGAGAAGGAACTGAATACCATTACAGTCACTTCTGCAGCAAGAGCCGAGCTGTTATGTGCACTTTAGTAAAGAGAAATCTGAGATGGCAGAAGTCCAGTGAAAGTAAGTGCTGTGCAGTCATGAGGGTAAAAACAAGGCAATTAACCTGTTCCATGCAATAGCTTTCATAGTTTATTTTTTAAGTAGTGCCCATGAGGCTTCAGCAGCCAGCCAAGCAATGCTCACCAGCACCCTACCAGCAATGAGATTACCTCAACATGTTGCTAGTGCAAGTTTTTTTGCCTGGATAAATCAGAAAACTATTATCACTTCCTAAAAACATTGACCAAAGTAAATTGGGGTGACAGTCACTTTTTTGCAGCCAAGACCATCCAAAGGAAGAAAAAGAAATTGCTTCTTAAAGTTTAAAATTGCAAAATCATAAGGCTGCAGCAGACTCCCAAGCAGCCCAGAAACTGCGAATCATGAGTTTGCAGAAAGGGTGCCCAATAAAGGCTTACAACACCTGCAATAATGTAGAGAACAACTCCATTCACAGATAGAGCTTGTGCTCAGCTGCCCAAGTCACAGCAGATCTGGCTCAGAGGAAACTTCATTCACCCTGGTATCTGGCAGGCCCATGGCTGCAGCAATTTCATGTCTTCCTGGCCCATCTCTGTCCTACTCTTCTGTAGGGTGGATACCCCTGCACTGGTGAGAGACATGCTGAGCTGAAGCATATCATTCCTCAGAGTGAAAGAAAACCTTCTAGAAAAATCTGGGACCTAGACTCTTCAACCTGCACATCTCACATCCCCTTTCTAAAGCTCAAAGCAGATAGCAATGGCACAAAATCCAAAAGGAAATTTACTCTGAGTAGTAAAAATGGGTGTTTGCATTTAAATGCAACTAGAGGAATAAAAGAGTAAAGCCTAACACAAAACTGAACTCCCTGCAGCAAAACCCTGAAGTATTAGTAGGCATTGTTTGTGAGCATTATCACAATGTGTTCTTTCTGCCCCAAAGGTATGCACTGACACAGTCCCCAGCAGCAACAGAGCAGCGAAGGGAAGAGTGCAGCAAAGCCCTGAAAGCACATCTGTCTCCCTGTGCAACATCCTCAGAGTAGCACCCTTAAGTGTAGGCTCTTGGTCCATGCATGGGTGGACCAAGACCCTACACTTAACTATTAACCATATAACCTTTATAACCACCACTAGATGTAAAGATATCCAAACACATCAGCAAGAATATTCAGTCTCTAATTAACACTGTGAGAATTCAGAAAATATAGATCATGTTTAGCTACTGCCTCATTTTGTTAACAAGAGATAATTGAAAAAATACGTGCTAAAGTGATTGCCTAATCATCACATCAAATTTGTTAAAAATTCAATTCACTGCGATCAAATAGTTTTTTACAAAAAAGCAACAACACACAGAGCACATTACTTGTTTGGGGCCTATCTCACCAAGTCTGAACTAGCATCCTTTGTGCAATGACTTTTACAGAGGAAGGAAGATCAAAACAATGTCCCAGCAGCTTTTGGGCTAATTTTGGGAGTGTCCTTCCTGCTGCTCCATCACTTCCAGTTTGAAAATTGCTCATGTCCCTTTGCTGTGCATCCTGAAGAACCTC